TGCTAACCGGCTAGCAGGGGTATTATTATCATATCGGTATTCGATATTGATGTGAGCAGCCTGTATATTTAAAAAGTCAGTGGATATCTAAAAAGCTCAAATCCAACAGTACTTTATGTCCACCTAATATGCTGTCTCTTTGTCTGGCAGTAAGTCTGAGAAGAGAGAGACTAACTGTTACCTGACAATTTACCATGGTTGTTTTTGAATAATAGTAACCACTGTAAATGTAGTAAATATTGTAAGAGCATCGTAAAACCGTAACTTAGTTGGATCAGTGTAACATTGGTTTCGAAAATATAAACATTCGTTATGAAAATAGTTACTTAAACTCTCCAGTTTCTAGGTTATTGTTCTAGGTTAACATACTGTTACATGAGAGTGAACTAGCAATTTCAATTAGCATTGTTAGACCAGATCCTGAACCTTCAGGTTTCCACAACCCCTCCGTTAAATGGTATTCAAATGGTCTAACGTTATGTGTTTATCAGGTGAAGTAGAAAATGGCCTCATATTTTGATGAGCATAACTGTGAGCCCACGAATCCAGAAGAACAGTACCGACAGAACGCCCTGCTGGAGCTTGCGAGGTAACGAGCACGACAGTGCCATCTAGACTGAAACTCGCCGATGGATAGTGCACAGTTTCTTTAATCAGTGTTTCACAGTTGTTTTCTTTTTAGTCTGTAGGTGTACATATATATTACCATTCAAAAGTCTGTGGTCAGGAAGATGTTTTTTAAAAGAAATTAATACATGTATTCAGTAGTGCAAAAGTTTTTGTTTGCATAATATATGTGTGTGTTCTGTGTATATTTATTATGTATATATACATAATAAATATACACAGAACACACATATATTATGCAAACAAAAATTTGTATTTTGGATGCGATTAATCGTTTGACAGCACTAGTATTCAGCAAGGATTGAAATTGATCAAAAGTGACAATAAAGGCATTTATAATATTATAAAGGATTTCTATTACAAATAAATGCTATTCTTTTGAAGGTTCTGTTCATCAAAGAATCATGAAAAAATGTATCTTGGTTTCTACAAAAATATTGAGCAGCACAACTGATTTCAACAACATTAATGATAAGAAAAAATGTTTCACTCCGCATATTAGAATGATTTCTGAAGGATCATGTGACATTCAAGCCTGAATAAATTGGCGCTGAAAATTCAGCTTTGCCATGACAGGAATAAACTAAAAACCGCTATTTTAAGTTGTAATAGTATTTCACAATTTTTACAGTATTTGATCAAATAAATTCAGCCTTGGTGAGTAGAGATTCTTTCAAAAACATTAAAAAAAACATACCAACCCCAAACTTTTGAATGTTACTGTAGGTGTGCTAAATTATGTACTGTAAATGATAGTATTAGCATTAATAGTAGTTAATTAGTATTTTTTGTTGTCAGCTATGTGGATGAGAACGTAATGATATTGCTAATCTTTTTGAACAATTTTGCGGTTATAGGTCTCTGATGCAGGGTCTTGACATAGACTCGGGTTCATTTGATTTGTCGGATTGGGACCAGCGTCTCCCCCCTCCTGCAGCCAAAGCTGTGGTTCAGAGTCTTCCCATTGTCATCATCTCCCCTGAACAAGCAGGTGACAGACTACTCATTCATAATCATCTGCAAACACATTCATAGAAGACATTATTGCACAAAGGAACATTAGCAACAGGATAATTGGTAATAATTTAGTTAGATGTTTCCTTGTGTTTGGCAATTGGCAGCAAGTTTGACTGAATTAGACGGTCTTAAATCCTTGGTGTCCATGACTGTCATTCTTCTTGAGCTTTCCTCATGCTCTTTTTTTCATGTAACAGATAAAGCACTGAAGTGTCCGGTGTGTTTATTGGAGTTTGAGGAGCAAGAGACTGTGAGAGAGATGCCTTGCAAACATCTGTTCCACACAGGATGCATCCTGCCATGGCTCAGTAAAGTGCGTTTAGTGGTTGAATTTTCCGTATGATCCTCCTGTGACCATGCTAGAATTAAATACACTACCATTCAAAAGTTTGGGGTTGGTACAATTTTTTTTAAAAGGTCTTTTTCTCTTCTTTTCAGTAAGGATGCATTCAATTGATTAAAAGTGATAGTAACAACTTTTAAATTGCTCCAAAAATATGTATTTCAAATAAGTGCTGTTCTTTTAAATGTGCTATATTAATCAAAGAATCCTGAAGAAAATATATCATAGTTCCCACAAAAAAAAAAAAGAAAAAAAAAAAATTGAGCAGCACAACTGTTTTCAACAGTGATAATAATAAGAAATGTTACTTGAGCACCAAATCGGCTTATTAGAATGATTTCTGAAGGATCAGGTGACACTGAAGACTGGAGTAATGAGTAATTGAGAAAAAAATTATAATATTTTAAGATGTTAAAATATATTAAGTTATTTTAAATTGTAATCATATTTGACAATATCACTGTTTTACTGTGAGCATAAGAGACTTCTTTCAGAAATCTTACCAACCCCAAACTTAAAAGTTAGTGTACGTGGATAATATTTCATGTTTGGCATAATCATCAATTATGACAAATAATCAGAGTTTTTACATAACATTACAGACCAATTCGTGCCCCTTGTGCCGACTTGAACTACCCACTGACAATCCAGACTATGAGGAGTTCAAAAAAGACAAGGTAACACTGTGCAATATCTGTTTTCTGTCTTGCCCAGTTATTGTTATTTTTATAATTCATTCCTTGCATTCTTCTGTAACACTTTAAGAATATGCCTGAGCATTAAGTGCGTTTGTATGTTTTTACAGGAACGGAGAAGACAAAGAGAACACAGACTAGAAGATCTACATGGAGCCATGTACACATGACCTTGAAGACTTGAATATGAATTCAACTTTCAGTTTGTTGGAAGTGAGAGTTTACTGTGCAGGGACCAGGCTTTGAAATGATTGCGTTTGTGTGTACTTATAACAAAACAGCAAAAGTTTCACTTTTCACAGTATCACTTTTAAGACTGCTTTGTATGGCTATGCACTGAGAACTGTTTGTATGGAACTGTAATGTAGCCTTATAGACACGTTTCTGATTTTATTAAATGTTTTAATTAAAGCAGTTGCTTTTTTGTGTTTTACTGTGAAATTGAATTTGTTCGCTCCATGAGTTCATATTCATTCGTTTTGTTCCCTTAAGAGATTTCTTACCTTTAAGTGCTGAAAAAACTTTATTGTGCTGTGAATGAATGCCATAGTTACAATAATTCATAGTGAGTGCAGTGGTACACTGTAGGCATGACTTTATCAGTGGACTCTACATTGTCCACTTTCCCAGTTAGTAAACAAAACCCTCCTTATATAATACGGTAGAACTCTACCTCGTGAAAAATGTGTCTGATTTTTAGGTGTGTAATTTATTGTAATGATTCAACACGCTGAGACAGTCTTGTTGTAATGACTATTATTTACTAATGTTGGAGCAAAAAAACTGTCTGAATATATAAAATGTTAAATAGTCTTTTCCATATTTTTAAATAAAAAGTGAGCTTCTCTAACATAGTGTGTATTATTATTTCAAGTGTGTTGAATTTGCCTTTGAATGATCACCGACACAAGTACAGATAAACCTGTTTATTATCCATTGGATGTTTTGGTAATTCAATATAAATCTCTGTCAAAGAAAATCATTGAAATTATACATAAATCTTACTTATTTACATAAGTAATTCATAAAATAAAAATATTCTCTGCATTGTTTTTATTTCGATTTTGGAGTGTGAACCTCACGTCTTTGTTGTGTTCTTCACAGATGCAACGTGTTGATAAAAAATACTTTGATTACATCATTTAAAGGCATCAGAAAAATAACTTCTATCCAGACAACAGCTGAAAATCATCTAACATCAAGAAAGAAACATCATCGATCAGAAACACATTATATTTGAATCATTTTCATGTGAGGAGATTCAGATAGTCCTCGGTTTTCAAAGTGTGGGGGATCCTCAAGCCTACATATCACAATATGTGTAGGCTCCTACAACGTTGTCTCACAAGCACAGATACATTGCAACAAAATTAAACGTGTTCAAAAAATAAAAATCAGTTCAAATTGTAACATAACTAAGAAATAATCAATTAACTATCCTTGCACAAACTTTTGCTCTTAGGTGACCTATAAATGACTGATCTATTATTCAGATAATGTAATATGGACTATATGCATTGACAAATATTGTATGTAATTTATACAAAATGTTGCTGGGATATAGCAAAAAAGACAATTAATGAGAAATGACATCAGCATTGACTTTAGGTTCATATGCACATGCTTTATATTACCCAAGATTTTATGCCCTTTTGTTTGAATTTGATCCGTTATGTTACTGTACCTCTATATGCAGTTTGGTTTGAGTTGAATGTATTTTGTAATGAGCAACTAATACATTTTGGAGGTAGCAATAAAAAAAAAAACATTCAAAATTAAATTTAACGGATGGTTTCAGTTGTACAGTGCAGCCCTGTGAATATTCCCTTAAATGAGAAGTGAAACAATTTAAACTGGCTCTCCAATAATAGAGGAGTCAACAGAGATAAACGTGTATGATGCCTAGAGACCACATCTAAATTTACAGTCTATTCATTGGCATGAAACTTATCTGTCCCTTTGAAGGACAGCAAATAAACAGAGACAGTAACTGGCACATTTCTGTGTGAAATTTAAATGTTAAAGCACAATAAACTTGGGAGTCATTTTAAAAGCAATACGGACCCTTTGATTGACAGCCTGAATTAGAAACATCACGTAAATACTACAGCAACATTAAGGCCACCATAACCACTCAACCCTCAGAATGTTTTCATGCGGTTTCCTAGGTTCCAGCCTGGAGACCAATCAGTTTCATTCATATAATGGTTTCAAAATGTGTTAATATTGCAGTACTGTCATTTTCTCAGTGGCTGTGTGTCCTTCTACACACACACACACACAAAAACAAAAACAATGAGAGTTAATGAATCAAAAGGCATACAGTACATATTTAGCTAAATTAAATGCATCCTTTGGCAACAGAGAAAAAAAAACTGATGTGCTGATTACGTAAATAATATCACGAAACTACACAAAACAATCAACAAAGATATGCAAGTAAAATAACAATGTAAAACGCTGAATGGATGTGGCATTTTGGAGTGGTTTTTATGGCCCTTGACAGAAAAAAAAAAGAAATTTGATTTAAAAAAAAATATATAAAAAGTTACAGGTACAGTCAATGTGAATATACTTATTCTACAACTTATTATTCTACAACTTATCAACTGACAAGAAGGGCAAGGTTAGAGCTTGTGTCACCTTACATCACTTCCTCCTGCTCGAAATAATAAAACAAAACCCACCTTGTCAGGGAATAAAAACAAGAATGAAACAGGACAGAAGCAAGCCAGCATGACAAAACATTTATCTTACCCACTGCATCATTAAAAAGGCCACCATTACAAAAAATGGGTGAATGAGACTTAATATTATAAATTAGATTTCAATTATAATGTATTTTTCTTCTTATTCCAAAATAATAGGTGCTCAAAGGCTATAGTTCAATCCATATTTTAGACATTCACATTTCAAAAATGATAGAATACTCGGATCCTGATAGTCTGCAATCCCAAATAAAAGTGAAAAGAACTTAAATCTACAAGTTCATTCATTGTGTTACCTGCAAATCATCCATTTGCAACAGTACTTGTGGGCAAACAGTAACAAGCTCTAAAAGAGATACCCCTGAAACATTTGTGCAAACGTGACAGTAAAAATTGCCCCCATCGCCCAGTGTAACAGTTCAAGCAACAGCAAAGTGACCTCACAAACCATTGGATATGTGCTAACAACAACCTTAAAATGGATCTCAAATCCAGCCCATTCTGTCCTTTTCAACCACAAACAACCCAACAGAAGCTTATCGCAAGGCAAAACAGGACGAAAAAAAGAAATTTATCAGACGTAACTTTAAATCGGAAATGGTTGTATACAACAGTCACACCTGTAAACCCGTTCAACTCTTAACCTGCCTCGAATCAGACTGGACAGTTCCTCTAAATCACTTTAATCTCAGCTCAAGTGCGGTCTTAAATGTAGGGTGCACCATTGTGAGGCTTTCCACCTGGCAGTTTGTGACTGTGTTTAAAGCATTGCGATGTTCTCAGGAGTGCAGTTCAGATGGGTGGAGGTGCTGCTTCCACCTGGAGATTTCAAACCCTTTGTGGTGGTGCCTCCTAGGGAGTCTGCTTGGATGTCGTCTCCGATCATGACGCCAGGCCCGTGCGAGAGGTTCCGCTGGAGGCCGGCCAACATGGTCTCAGTTGTGACGGTGCCAAACTCATAGGTGAAAGTCCCGTAGAACACGAGGATGACTACAGTGAAGACCCACTCACAGATGGCCGCTGCGTGTTGTAAGACAAAGCTCTCGTGGATGAAGAATATCCCACCTGAGAGGAACCATCAAGGACTCAAACGTTTTCAAAAGGAAGCTTACATTTGTGTGAGCTGAAGGCACAGCTGCCCACTACGGAATTAAAGAGATAGTTCACCCAAACATTTAAATTCTGTTGTCATTTACTCACTCTTAAGTTGTTCCAAACCTGTATGGGTTTCTTTCTAGTTTGAAGAATGTGGGCAAACAGTTGCTGGTCCCCATTCCACAGTATGGAAAAAAAATTAAATAAAAGGCTATTTAAAGGGATAGTTCACCCAAAAATGAAAATTACCCTATGATTTACTCACCCTCAAGGCATCCTAGGTGTATATGACTCTCTTCTTTCAGACAAATCCAATCGATGTTAAATGATGGATGGATGCGCTTTATTTATTTTATGATGGATGGATGTGCTTTATAGGCCATGGATTATTTATGGAAATACTGGTTAATTAGCTGCTCTCATAGTTACATCACCCAGCAACCCTTTAGCCACCACTTTTTCCTCCAGTTGGGAAAAAAACAATTCATAAATCATTGATGAACACAGCAGTGATAAAGCAGGAAGGCTGGGAGACTCCAGCTGGGCTCAGCCGTCTCCTCGGCAGCATTTACACTGAAGCAATTAGATTATACCTCCACTATTATATGAGTCAGGGGCTTCATGATCGTGACCAGAGCCTCAGCAGGAAGAGAAACAGATAAAGCCCAGTACTATAGCTTTTCTTGCCCTGATCAGGTCATGCGTTATTATTTAAACAGCTGGCACTAAACAGGATAGTTGACAAAAAAAAAAAAAAAGCAATTCTGTCATCATTTACTCGCCCTCATGTTGTTAAAAACCTGTAGAACTTATTTGAACACAAAAGGTGTAGAATGTTGTTCTTTTCCATGCAAATACAATGAAAGAGAAGCTTGAAAAAGCACTAAGAGTATCATAAAACTAGTCATATGATAGCTCAAACTTAAAGTAGTGCGAGATCTTTCTTCCAAATTGTGATGTACATCTAAGTGCAATGGATTATCAGAAAAGAAATGTAGGTCAGGGACTGGGTTCTTTCCATTGGTAGTTGATTGGATGGAAGCAGATCTGAATGCAAGCTTGCGGTTGATTGGAAGGAAGGGGTGGGGTTTTATGGGCTTACATTTCTGCCACAATTCTGCGCGCGAAAGATCATATTTTGAGCGCACAAAAGTGCGTTTTGCACGCGCGCGAACTGAGTTTTGTGGAGAAAATGTTTGTCTCGCAAAGAAGAAAGTATTTCGAGCGCACGAAAATCAATTTTGCATTTAAAATAAGTTTTTGGATGTGTGCAGACCTTCTCTTTTGCACGTGCAACGTTTCACTAGCTTGC